ATTGCGCATTTCGCGCTGAGACAAGGGCGGGCCCATGTGTCAGAATGTTGTATTTGTCTAGCCTGCAGTGGGGTACTCTATAGCGAGTACAGCCCAATCTAGGGTTTGCTATTTGTATCTCAACTGCTGCTAGTCCAAACCCCTCTTTCCTGTTTCTCGTTTTGCCTAGCGTTCTCGATATGCTATCAGAGCAGGTCGACCCTCCTGGGTCGATCCTGTGGGTGGGCCCACCACCTAAGCCTTCCGCTGCTACTGCTACTGCTACTGCTACTCTGTGTGTCGCACGCCCCGTGGCGTGCAACGGATTTTTTATCCCGCCGTGCGCCCCGAGGTGCGCGGCGGTTTTCTGCCCGCCGTGCGCCCCATGGCGCGCGGCGGTTTCCTGCCGTGGGGAGCCCGCGCGCGCCCCGCCCGTCCGTTGCGGCGCCCTGGGGAGCACGCGAGCGCCCCGCCCGTTCGTTGCGGCGCCCTCGGGAGCCCGCGCGCGCCCCGCCCGTTCGTCGCGGCGCCCTGGGGAGCACGCGAGCGCCCCGCCCGTTCGTCGCGGCGCCCTGGGGAGCCCGCGCGCGCCCGCTCGTTCGTCGCGGCGCCCTGGGGAGCCCGCGTGCGCCCCGCTCGTTCGTCGCGGCGCCTTGGGGAGCCCGCGCGCACCCCGCCCGTCCGTCGCGGCGCCCTGGGGAGCCGCACGCGTCTCCCCCCCTCGCCAGTCCGCCGCGGCGCTCTGGGGAGCCGCGCGCGTCACTTCCCTCCCCCCGCCCCGTCCGTCCGTTTTGGCGCCCTGGGGTTGCGCGCGGTCCCCCTCTCGCCGTCCCCCGCGCTCCTACCCTCTCCCACCCGTTTTAGGGTTTGGGGATGTGGAGTGTGGGGGTGGCGGGTGTGGGGGTGCCGGTTGTGTGCCCCGTCCCCTCCTTCTCCTCCTCCTCCGTCTCCCGCTGCTGCAGCTGCCGCTCAGGGGGGTGGGTGTGTGGGGAGCCGACGGAGTGGTACTAGGGGGGTGAAAGGGGAGTGGAGCTAGGGGCGAAGCAGGGGGTGTGTGTCGAGGGGTGTGGGACTGTTGGGGGAGGTTGAGCGGAGGCCGCCGTCGTGTCGTCTGCAGCGCCTGTATTCCGGGGTTCTGATAGCCACCGGTAGCTCAGAGAGCCGGTTGCACCTGTCGCCCGTGGGTCCGTTGCTCCTGTCGCTGCTGATCAGACGCAGAGCCTGTTACTCCTGTATTCCGGGGCCCTTGCTCCCGGTAGCCACTAGAGCTGCACCAGAGCCGTCTGTTGCCCGTGTGTCTGCAGCTTCAGTCGTCGCCTCCACTCTTCTCTCCTCTCGCCAGCCCTCCTCCTCCTCACTTGCCCTCTGTGACTGCCTCTAGTTTTGCTCATAAAATGTGAACTACTATTATGACTGCTTGTTGTGCTGATTACACCCCACTTTGGCTATGGGGGTGTGTCAGAATGTTGTATTTGTCTAGCCTGCAGTGGGGTACTCTATAGCGAGTACAGCCCAATCTAGGGTTTGCTATTTGTATCTCAACTGCTGCTAGTCCAAACCCCTCTTTCCTGTTTCTCGTTTTTCCTAGCGTTCTCGATACCATGTTCCTTAGAAGAGATCGAGGTCCTTAGACCGGGACTAGCTCTGATAGCATGTTAAGAACAAGATAGCCTAGGTTTAGGAGAAACCTAAGCTAGGGACGAGGGTAGCGAGGGTGTCGGGAGGGGAGAGGAAGTTGGCCAAGGAAAGAGGGTTTCACTATAGGGCAAATGGTACAAATAGGATAGGAAAGGGGTATACCACCAAGCAGGATGTTATGATAGCTACACTAACACTAGAACTACATGCAGTTATAAGAATGCAATTCTGACATTGCTGTGTCAAGGCGATTTTGCTTTGGCAGTGCGAATCTGCTGTGACCCGCGAGTCCGAATCACCAGTCAAGAACGTGTTTGTACTCTGAATGATCAGAGTACACTCTCAGAAAACTCTGAACTCTCAGAGTTAGCCTTAAAAAAAGTCTGAAAATTACAGAGTTGAGGCCCAAAAAAGTCTGATTTTATCAGAGTACACAGGAAAAAAAATCTGAAATATCAGAGAAAAAAGTCCAAATCAGAGAAAAAAGTCTGACTTCTGAGGGCCTGATATGAGCCCAGTGGTGCACCAGAAGATTGAATGCTTGGCCTCAGCTCTGCCTGATGCCATCATTGTCAAGCCCCACAGGTCGAGTCGACCTGGCCCCACGATATCAGGGCAAAACATCCTGATTACCCTGATTTCAGGATGCAGTTTTAAATTTGCCCTGGAATTTCAGAATGGTGGTAATTTCTACCCTGTGATCTCAGGATGTTGTCATTCGATATGCCCTGGAACTTCAGGATGGTCGTAATGTTGTACCCTATAGTGTCAGGATGAACGTGGAGGCTTCCCCTGACGCGTTTTTTGGAAGGGAGAAGAGGGGGGGGGGGGGGGGGGGGGGGGGGGGGGGGGGGGGGGGGGGGGGGGGGGGGGGGGGGGGGGGATGGTGTGGTAAAACTTCTCAAACTTAGGGTTTAGGGTTTAATCTGGTGGTGACTGGTCTGGTGGTCTGGACTGGAGCCTGGATTATTAGGACAATGTTGGTGCCAGCCAGTACAACACCAAAGCAGTAGTACCGTACTACACACACATACCGGTAGGCCTTACTAGAAGTGCTAGAACTGAACCTTGAGCAATAGATTTTCTGCCCTGACAGGTCAGGATTGAATTCTGCTGAAGCCCTGAAGCTACATGATGCCTTCAAAGATTTGTCCTGACAAATCAGGGAATTTTTTGAGTTTCTGGAAAGTTGCCCTGAAGGCTCAGGGTGCCCCAAATCCTAGCACGGGCCCTGAGGTCGACCAATGAGGACAGTAAAGAGGAAGGATAAAGCTCTGCTTGCTGTTATGATGGCAGTGTAGTGGGTATCTTTACTGCTATTGGTAGCGGTGCCAACAACCCTCGCTGTTGCCAAGACAGGTCACTGCTACTATTGGTAGCGAGTAACTCCTCATCACCCCATGTAACTCCTCACCACACCACCCCATGTCACTCTCTGTTTTAATAAGCATCATGTCTCACCTCACTCCTGATCATCAGCAGCGCAACACCCATGCTCGCACGGTTATGCGGTTAACTCCAGCACGGTTCTCCCAAATAGTGCCATAGATTTCAGGCTTGTTACACTAATTCAGAGTGCGTTCAGACTTTTTTTTGGTACCTAGGCTGAACTCAAAGTTTGTTTGTATGTACCTTGTCTGATTTTTCAGCCTTCTTTTTTGTACCTTGTCTGTTTTTTCAGACAACTTCGGTGAGTGTACGCTGATCCTGTAGCTCTACTAACGGGACCCTTGCTAAATCCTTGAAATGTGCTGCTTCAGCCAATCGCCCCACCCACCCCTCCGGCTCACCCGAATCTCTCGCGCCGCCCCCCAGCCACAATTTCTCGCGCCTACTGGTCGCACATTTCCCCTACCAAGCCCTGCCCACCTCGTTTCTTCCCCCAGGCCACGTCTCCCAACCTACCAGCTTCTCCCGCACCTCCCCTCCGACCCACCTATGACCTGCCTCTCCCGCCCCTCCCCGCAGCTCACCTGCCCCTATAGCACCAATCTGCTTCTCTCGCCACACTTCCTTCTCCTCTCGCACCCACTTACTTCTCTCGTGCCCCTGCTTACCAGATCTCGCTACACCTTGCAAGATGAACTATATTAAGTGTGTACTTCACCTTAACAAGAAAAAAATAATATAAAAAAAAATCAGCCTTTCTTTTTGCACCAACACTGAATTTTCAGAGTTTCTTTGCTAGGTAACGCTGATCAGCAGACTTTCTTTATGGACCAACGCTGATGGATCAGCCTGGTCCAAAACGAATCTAGGGCCCTGCTCCCAATCCATTCCCCGCTCTCAACCCATCACCTCTACGTCTGCTACCTCTCCACTGATCCCAACCCATCCATGCTACTTGGTGTACAGTTGGTCGACCAACATCCCACCTGCCCCACCCCCGACACTCTTCTGCACCCTCAACCATGACCCCACCTTCCCCTCATCCCAGTCGTGTCCCCGCAGCCTTCCTTTCTCAAATGCCTCTCGACATGTCTCTAGCGCCCCCTTCCCCACCTCCCGCTGCCACGCATCCTTCCTCGTGCATCCCCACGGGTGGTGAAACTCCCCCTCTCTTCTTCTCCCCCTTCCCCCCTCCTTCGCTGGTCCCTAGTGCATCCATTTCCCCTTTCCCATCGTTCCTGCCTGTGACCTACCCACCTGCCACCTCGCAGTGCCCAGTGTCCGCCCCTCTCCCACGCTGCTGCACCCCTCTGCTCTCGTCTTCACAGAGCCCCTTTTGCTCCTAGCTGGCCCCCCTCCCTCACCCACCCATGTGTGCCTTGTCTTATCTCCTCCGCCCCTAACTGTCCCGCATGACAAAGCGTTTACCCCCAGTGCTGTGAGCAAATTGCCTCTCCAGCTGTGCGAAACGCCCCATTCTCTCCCCACATTTCTCCCCCTAGCCCTCCTTTGCTCACCATGCCTGTCCACCAATGCTCTCAACGTCCAGTTTGATTGTGTGGTTGTTTATTTTCCCCTGTTACGTTGTAAGCACAAGCCATTAGGTGTCTTTCTGGACAGGCCACAAAAATGACATACCTTGAACTCAGCTTGCCACGAGCCAGCCATGGCTGGTCCCTCACCACTATGCATTACTGCTAACTCTAGATAGCTGAACATGTAGCAACTGACAGTGCATGGCTGATAGTGCATGACTCACAATGCATGGCTCACGACGCCGCTGATAGGTCGCATGATTCACATGTGACCTTTAGTGGAACGGCTCATGCTGCTGCAATGCACGTACCTGTGCCTCCTCCCTCCTCCCTCCACTCTCTTCCGTCCTCTCTCCTCTCTCCTCTGCCTTCTGTTGCCAATGCTGGACCTTGTCAGCCCTGAGCGCATGCACAGCAGGGCGAGTGATGGCTCGTTACTGAAGAATTTCACAGAAAGAGATGCAAGCAAAGAGAGCGGTGAAATGCACCCTTTTACCCGCACCTCACTGCCTTACCCTTCCCCACTCTGCCTACGCACATCTCTGCATGCTCCCCTCTCCGCCTTCCCCCCTCTACCTTCCCCTCTCTGCCTTCCCTCTCTGCCTCCCCTCTATGCCTTCCCCTCTCTGCCTTCCCCTCTCTGCCTTCCCCTCTCTACCTTCCCCTCTCTGCCTTCCCTCTCTCTGCCTTCCCCTCTCTGCCTTCCTCTCTCTGCCTTCCCCTCTCTGCCTTCCCTCTCTGCCTTCCCTCTCTGCCTTCCCCTCTCTGCCTTCCCCTCTCTGCCTTCCCTCTCTGCCTTCCCTCTCTGCCTTCCCTCTCTGCCTTTCCTCTCTGCCTTCCCTCTCTGCCTTCCCCTCTCTGCCTTCCCTCTCTGCCTTCCCTCTCTGCCTTCCCTCTCTGCCTTCCCGTCTCTGCCTTCCCGTCTCTGCCTTCCCGTCTCTGCCTTTCTCTCTGCTTTCTCTCACCTCCCACTACGCTGCAGCATCACCTTGCACTTCGACTCCCAGCCTGCCACTTTTCCCGTCTCTGCTCTCCCATCCTGCAGGACTGCCAGCCTGCCACTCTTTCCCCGTCTCCCTGCCTCCCATCCCAGGAATGTCCCCAGCCTCTCTCTCCCCCAAAAGAGCACACACAGCTCTCGTTCCCCATGCTGCTAGTTAAGACGAGCCTTGCCAATTCTCGTTCTCCAACTCTCTTCTCCGTGCGTTTCCCCCCACTGCCGTTCCGTCTGCCTGCCCATTTTCCTGTTCCCATCCCTCCTCTCTCCCCCCCAAATCTTCTCCCTCACATGCCCTTCCCCTTCTGCCCCCACCAGTAGCAATTATCCCATCCTCCTCCCACACCACACCACATCCCCTTTCCCCCTCTCCCCCCAGAAAATTTTTGTTCCTTACCTATATGATTAGTACTAAGAGAACGTACGTTAGTTGCCTGCCAATCCCATCGCCCATGCGCCTACCCCACCTTGTCTACGGCCCTCCCACGCAAGCAAGCCTCGCGCCCTCACCCTCCTCCCACCAGCCTCACCAAATCCTACCAGCCGCCATGTTGCCTCCACTGCCAGCCCCTACAGCAGCAGCAATGCGCCGAGTTTACTTTAGAGAATTCTCAAAAGTAGACTCAGCATAGAACTGCCGCAGTGCTGACGGCACCAGCATCTCCTCGCCACTTCCCCGTCTGTCCGTGCCCTGCCCAAGCCGTGCCCTGCCCCTCCGCACCAGCGTGAATGGGTGCTGCTGTGCAGGGCACGGCACGGCGTGAGTGGGTGCTGCTGTGCAGGGCACGGCACGGCGTGAGTGGGTGCTGCTGTGCAGGGCACGGCACGGCGTGAGTGGGTGCTGCTGTGCAGGGCACGGCACGGCGTAAGTGGGTGCTGCTGTGCAGGGCACGGCACGGCGTCAGTGGGTGCTGCTGTGCAGGGCATGGCACGGCGTGAGTGGGTGCTGCTGTGCAGGGCACGGCACGGCGTGAGTGGGTGCTGCTGTGCAGGGAACGGCACGGCGTGAGTGGGTGCTGCTGTGCAGGGCACGGCACGGCGTGAGTGGGTGCTGCTGTGCAGGGCACGGCACGGCGTGAGTGGGTGCTGCTGTGCAGGGCACGGCACGGCGCGAGTGGGTGCTGCTGTGCAGGGCACGGCACGGCGTGAGTGGGTGCTGCTGTGCAGGGCACGGCACGGCGTGAGTGGGTGCTGCTGTGCAGGGCACGGCACGGCGTGAGTGGGTGCTGCTGTGCAGGGCACGGCACGGCGTGAGTGGGTGCTGCTGTGCAGGGCACGGCACGGCGTGAGTGGGTGCTGCTGTGCAGGGCACGGCACGGCGTGAGTGGGTGCTGCTGTGCAGGGCACGGCACGGCGTGAGTGGGTGCTGCTGTGCAGGGCACGGCACGGCGTGAGTGGGTGCTGCTGTGCAGGGCACGGCACGGCGTGAGTGGGTGCTGCTGTGCAGGGCACGGCACGGCGTGAGTGGGTGCTGCTGTGCAGGGCACGGCACGGCGTGAGTGGGTGCTGCTGTGCAGGGCACGGCACGGCGTGAGTGGGTGCTGCTGTGTAGGGCACGGCACGGCGTGAGTGGGTGCTGCTGTGCAGGGCACGGCACGGCGTGAGTGGGTGCTGCTGTGCTGGGCTCGGCACGGCGTGTGTGGGTGCTGCTGTGCAGGGCACGGCACGGCGTGAGTTGGTGCTACTGTGCTGGGCACGGCACGGCGTGAGTGGGTGCTGCTGTGCAGGGCACGGCACGGCGTGAGTGGGTGCTGCTGTGCAAAGCACGACACGGCGTGAGTGGGTGCTGCTGTGCAGGGCACGGCACGGCGTGAGTGGGTGCTTCTGTGCAGGGCACGGCACGGCGTGAGTGGGTGCTGCTGTGCAGGGCACGGCACGGCGTGAGTGGGTGCTGCTGTGCAGGGCACGGCACGGCGTGAGTGGGTGCTGCTTTGCAGGGCACGACACGGCGTGAGTGGGTGCTGATGTGCAGGGCACGGCACGGCGTGAGTGGGTGCTGCTGTGCAGGGCACGGCACGGCGTGAGTGGGTGCTGCTTTGCAGGGCACGACTCGGCGTGAGTGGGTGCTGCTGTGCAGGGCACGGCACGGCGTGAGTGGGTGCTGCTGTGCAGGGCACGGCACGGCGTGAGTGGGTGCTGCTGTGCAGGGCACGGCACGGCGTGAGTGGGTGCTGCTGTGCAGGGCACGGCACGGCTTTGGCAGCCAGTGCTCTGCCAAAGCCGTGCCGTGCCGTGCCGTGCCGTGCTGTGCCTTTGGCCGGACCCTCTTGTAAGGCGTGAGTGAGTGCTGCTGTGCAGCCACTGCTGCCCGCATCGCCATGGACAAACAGTAAGACCCGCAACCCCACAGCCACAGCCCAGCAGCTGCTGCAGCCATCACCTGCTCTTGCAGTGTGTGCTCGAATGCAAGAAGGGGGCTGTAGCCGTGCAGTAGTGTGCGTTCTGGAACAGCTGGAATTGGGGGGAGAGAAACAGGAGGGTGGTGTGGATCCAGATATAAAGTTTGACACGACCAAAGAAACATGATTACGTGATGCTATGTGATGCTGAAATCTGGCCTGTCTATCGATGATATAATAACGCGATGCAGACGCTTGCACACCAAGACCTATGGGAAGGCAAGAGGCGGTGAGGAAGTGCGTAGAAGGTGGGCGAGAGGTGGTGGAGGGAGGAGTAGGAGTGGGGGATAGAGGGAGGTCTGACTACGTGAGGGAGTTACATGTCACGTGGTGGAGTCCTGGCGATATTTGCCTCTGATATGTACAACCATCTTCGGTACACCGCGAGCATGTGTAGCTACACATTTCCCCTCACTCCTCATCATCACGTGCCCCTTGATTCTACCACCCAAGCTCCTGAGCTTGTCAACGCTGGGAAATGACTAATATTGCTCTCTGCACAGGACCAGCACACATGCTTGCAACACCAATTCATGCAGCACCCATGCTCACCCTGCGTGTCCACCCCTAATCCCCTGCCCATCCCCTCTGCTATTTCTGTTGCCTTCCCTGCGCAGTCCCGCAACCCTCAACCCCTGCCCATGCAACCTGCTCTTTCGCTTCCTGCTCCTCTCTCCTACCCTCTAGCTGCGTACCACCCTCCCTGCCTGTTTTAGTCGATCACCATCAAGAGGTAAACCCTAGCGCAGCTATCCCAATCCGTTCCGCAGACTCTCCTCTCTACCAGCTTCTCCACCGCTCCCAACCCATCAGTGCCACCTGGTGTGCTATCGGTCGACCTGCCACTATCTCTCCCTCCCCGCCTCAACCAGCAGCGCACCTGCCCACCCGCGCGTCTCTTGCATACGCGCCCTCCACCCATGGCAGCGCACCTGCCCACCCGTGAGGTGACTTTTGAGTCGAAAAGCCACCCAAAAGCCACCCGCGCTTCTCTTCCATACGCGCCCCCAACCCATGGCCCTTCCTTCCCCTCACCCCCATCTTGTCCCCACACAATTTCCTTTCTCATATACGAATCTTCTCTGCGCCCCTTCCCCCACCCACCCCCCCCTGCCACACGTCCTTCCCCGTTAAACTTTACCTGCAAGAGTAGCAGGACATCCCCCTTTCTCCCACCCACTCCCCCCTTCACCCCCGCCCCCCCCCTCTCCCCCCCACAACACCCATTCCCCATTCCCCGCTCCCACTGCTCCCTGCCTCCTCCCTTCCCACCCTGACCCACTGCTCCTCCTTCCGCACTTCCCACCAGCCCAACTCTCAGCGCCCTATTTCCTTCCGCGACTCTCGCCTTCCAAACTTCCTTAGTTCCTTTGTTCTTTCCTTAATCCCATTTCCAATTGTTTAGTTGGAGTGGGAGGTTGAGAATGGCCTTGCTTAGCTCAGACCCCCTCAATACATCCCTTGGGGAACTATCCCAACCATGGTTTCCATGGTGGGAGGGTTCCTAGGCTTGGAGCCTATGTGGCAATTGTGTTGGGTTGGAAAACCCAACTTAGAACCATTCAATGGTTGTGTTTAGGATAGAGTAGATTGTAACAATTGTTTGGCAGTTTCTGATTGGTTGGAATTCCAACCTTTGTGATTTCACTTTGATGGGTTGGAGTTTCCCAATCCTCTTGGTTGAGGTTTGGAAAACCAAACCAACCCCTCCATCCCAACCAAAGCCAACCTTCTTCTCCAAGTCCCTCTTTGTCGAGATTACTCTCGACATTTGCCTAGAGGGAAGTTGGTTAGTTAGCTTAGTTAGGGCAATGCGTTACACTTCTCCTCCCCCCCTAGGTGGCAACGTCCCCGTTGCCCTAGGGTGCTTCTGAGGACGAGTGCTTCGAGCACGGCGCACCACATTACGACCAGGGTCAACACCATCCACTGGCTGCGCGGCCGCTCGGAGAGCCAAGTCTTCCATGTAAGCTTGAACTGCTGTTGCAGTCAAGTGTTCTTCGGGCTCCCAGGAATTGTGTTCAGGCCCATAGCCTTTCCTCTTAATGAGGAACTCACGTTTGGTTTTACGGCCGCGTTGTCGATCACGGTGCATGAGCACACGCTCGACTTTATAATATAGTTCCTCGCCCAGGACGATGGTTGGTGGTGGTTGGTATGTGCCTTCGGCAACATACTTGTTTAACAGAGACACGTGGAAGACGTTGTGAATCTGCAAGGTGTCTGGTAGCTTAAGCTTATAAGCCACCTCCCCAACCGCTTGATAACCTCGAATGGCCCAATCCAACGAGGAAACCGTTTTCGTGCCCCAGGTAGTTTGAGTCGAATGTTCTTCGTACTCAACAAAACTTTGTCTCCCTTTTGAAAAGAGGCGTCCCGGCGTTTCATGTCAGCATAAGACTTTTGGCGTTGTTGGGCAAGTTGCAACCAACGACGAGCAGACTTAAGCGCTTCTTGCTGCTTGCTAATAAAGTCCTTAGTGGCTGGTATTTTCAAGCCACTGACCCCATGCGTAGCAGGTGTTGTGGGGTGCCGACCACAGTTTAAGATGAAAGGTTTCTCATGGGTGCTCTCATGCACCGAGTTGTTGACAGCAAACTCCACGACTGGCAACAGCTCATCCCAATCATCTTGTGTTGGGCCAATAAACGAACGAAGCATTTGTTCAAGAGTACGATTTGTGCGCTCGGTCTGCCCATTCGTTTGAGGGTGGAATGCCGACGACATTTTCAGCTTCGTCCCCAGTGTCCGAATGACCTCCTGCC